GATTTACATACCGATTGGTTCAAACGGTGTTTCTGGGTCCCTAGGCATGAAGAGGTGCATTGTTAAACACCTTAAGAAAATAGCACATATTGAACTTTAAATATATCTCAGATATATGAAAACAAGGTAGTAATGGAAATCCTAAACGCTTGATCAACACAAAATCTGATTGTTGAAATTTCAAAGCAAAAGATATGCCAACAAACACCCCCCTCAATGGTTTTTTTTTTTTTAATTAAAAGTACAAACTTCTCTCTTATACAGTTGACAGGTACTTCTATCTCTAAAAGAGAGAAAGCGTGTGCTGTTTATTCCTTTAACTGACAGTCTACTGTTTCTTCAAAGTTAAGAGCAATAAGTCTATTCCCAGTTCACGTCAACTTACCCCCGCTTAGCGCATCCAAAACCAAACCCGCAATATCTCACGTTGATACTCAAGCATCTCTGCGCCCGAAGGCAACGGGCACGCCAAACTCCACGGTGCCTTGGGAAGCGTATAAATTGCAACTAGAAGATAACTGAGCAGGATATAAACCCACCTATTTAGCCAGACGTGAACGACTAGTTCCCTGGTCAAGTGTACAGCCAATCTACCAAGAAGAATCATTTCTAAACGACACTAAAACGTACATTTTGGGTAGCTAAGCGATTACAAGTACCAGTCATTGAAAATATTTTTGTATTGTACGTATTTCTACCACTTGATTCAGTGACACAACTCAATCTCACCTAGCGCTGCTAAAAGGTATTTGAGAAGTGATTCAAAACTAAAAATGAGACCTTTTGAGAGAACTACTGCTTATAAAAAGATAGTGAAATTACACTGCCGTATGATCAAAACTAAACAAACAAGGGACCTACAGGTTTAGGCACACAGTCGCTAAGGCTCCTTCATATGACTTCTACCGTGATTCACAGATGCACGCAAGTTGACTCTCAATCGATCACGCAAAATTGTGGCACTTTATACTCCAGAAACTTAAATGTATTCTTCTCAATTTAGATATATCACAATCAGATTTCCATGAGTGTAAGTGGAAAATAAACGTTAACCACCCACATCTAAAGCACTGTTACATTTATCCCACTGATGAAGCATTACATTCAGTCAAATGATGATAGTGACATTTGAATCTATTTCTTCAGTAAAAATTAGTATCTTTTGCACCAAGACTGAGGGCTGCATTTGGTGGAACTTGTGTGTATTGCACTCTTCTGCTCAAGGAAACAAAACAGTAGGAAAAAGAGAAAGTAATAGCAAGAGTCCTGCTGAAAAAGAAGAACTGTAAGAAATTAGTCTCCTATTAAAATTAAAATTCCTGTTAGAAATGGTAACCCTGGGGTAACATCCCAGGAAACTTTCCTGCCACTGTTTCTTCCGTTTGTGCTACAAGACATCCCTCTCGTGTCAAATCTTTCTTAATACAGTGTATTTATCTCATACAGCCATTCACGTTTTTTCCCTTTAGACATTATTTCCTCCCACGCAGACCTCTATTGCCCTCCCAAAGGCATTTGTTTTTCCTTCAATACTGTAAATGCCAGGTTCTCAAATTTTTGGTATTAGGATGTAATTCAAAAAAGCACCACTGATCTGCGAGACAGTTATATTAATTCTCTTCTAAAAACCCGGACTGAAAAGTGGCTATTGTTTATTTTGCTTTATATCATGGTATTTTTAACCTGTGTAGTTAGCTTTACAAGTTTCCCACTCAACAGTATATCCAACTATGACTGTCAAAAGCATGAAGTATTTTTTCATTAGGTAACCATTAATGCCTGGAGTGAGTCTCCACATCTCTCCTCCTACCTTCAGTGGCTGGAAGCCTGAAGATTATCAGCCATAATCACAATTGCCAAAGTCCTAGCAGGAACAGATGCCTCTCACAAGGATTGTCTAGATCTTTCTACCTAGAGTTGTCTTCCTGTGCCCAGCAGGGACATGACCTTAATTCACTGGGCTGGCTTTCGTCCACACTCCTCACCATGACTGTGGCAATCTGGAGCTGCTAAAAGCTTCATTATTGCACACAGATGGTGCACAAATTCTCAAAAGTAATTTGCGGAAGCGTCACAGTGGTGAAACTTAGACACTACTGCAATAACAAAAGCACAGTGTACAGACCCGGCTAGTGTTTATCAAAGCCATAAAGAGTAAATTATGAATAAACACGGCTGTGATGACTGTAAGATGCAATGAACACACCTTGAGGCACAGTTTCAAAGCTCCTTCCTATGCCTAAGTTGGATTCAAGAACAGAACTAGATACAGCCTTCACAGGTAAAACACCACAAGACATTTCACTTTCAATAGCTCAGGAGCCACACAACAACAGCAAGCAAGCAACTATTCTTACAGCACTTAACTTGCAACAGAAGACAAAACCCATAGATTCCCCAAGCAGCATGTGCTACAATTCCATAGGCAAGCAATCAAACAGCAGAAGAGATACTGGGGAGCCTGCATCCATCACCCTGCTCTCAAGGAAGAAAAAAAAAAAAAGAAAAAAAATCACTGAGAAGGTCAGAATCTTTTGAAGTAGCTGTCAGCACAAATCCTTATTAATTTGAGGCTGTGGTGCCACATAGGATCATGAAAAGCTTGACAGAAATCAAATGCAGCTGCAGAAATAGAGGTCAAAATTAAGAGAGAAGGGGCACTGGATCACAGGTTCTCAAACAGGCTTACTGCATCTCCTGCTTGCACTGAAGAGCAAAGGTTTTACATCAACTCCTCGGGCTGTCACACCATGCTGCAAAGGTTATTCTCAGTTATACCATTTTTCAATACATTGCAACGCAAATAACTTGCGCACTTGCCAGAGCAGAGTTTGTATAAGTGACATATAAAACACAGCAGAGCATTACGAGGCAGGTAAAGCAGTATATACTAAAACATCTGGCTGTCATATGATGACGTTTGGGGGGGGGGGACACATTCACTCCTGTGCTTTGCTTCATATTGAATATAACTGAGCTGCTATTTTCAGAACAGCAAAAACAATTAATCACATGAGAACTCTCAAATTATCGATAATCTATTAAAGGTATGAAAGCCAAACATTACGGCTAGGTGCAGTCCAGCATTATTATAGAGTTAGCAAGTATATAATGGGTCTGCAAATGGTATCTTCCTGGGTCCTGAATTTGTATTCTCATCAGCCTCCCAAACAAATTTTGCATGCTTTGCCTATTCTAATCTTTAGCACTTCCATACAGCCCCTAATACTCTTTTGAAGTCTTCTGCTTCTCTCACTGCCTGCAGACTGAAGAAAATATGGTTGCATCGTGAACCAACTAAACAGATACTTTTGCTCTCAGAGCACCATTCTTCTCTGTCCGTTCTATGTTTTCACGTAGTTTATATTTAAGTCACAAAAAAGCAAACAGCCACAATGATGATCCAATAAGGCACTTCAATATTAAAGCAGACTGTTTTCATTTGCTTGAGCAGGTTATTGTATTGAGCTGGTAGCGTACTACAGATCTTGCACGAGTGCAGCAGAGCCCCAAAGTGGTCCTTCACTGCTAACTTGCTTTCAGCAGTTAATTTTTGATTTAATTTCCAATGCTGAATGACCATTCCAGGTATTGCTGGGTAGCCAGCCCTTTGGTGCAGTTCGCAAAGCTCAGCGCTTCGCTCAAAACTCTCCCTTTTTCTTGGGCTTTACAGGTACTTCCAACACACTAACGGCAGGTTGTTTCCTTTGTTTCTGCCAATTGCAAATGACTGGGAAGGTTTCACAGATTTAAAAATCAATTACACGATTCCGTTTTAGATCACAAAGACAGTAGCAGTAGCTGTCACCAATGTACCGCAGAGATGACTTCTTTCATTCCGATACCAAAATATCGGAACAGAAAAACAAGTGACACTGTCAGCTACTCACTAGGCAATTAAAATAACACAACAGGAGTAACTGCGACACACTCCTTGCCAGAGCATTCAACCGCTATATTATTTGTATGATTTATGCACCATAAATCAAAGTTATAGCTCTACTATGCATGTAACCATAATCAGGAATTCAGATCAAATTTCTACTACATTCAGGAAGAGTATGTGAAAGTATCCATGGCTGAACATTTTTAACTAATCTTACATGATTCATTTGAAACATGTAGGATCCTACATGATTCCAACAGAAACTGAGTTTTACTTCAGAAGCCCTCCTCCCCTCAGAATAAGGTCTTTCATTGCTCCTTGCAAGTCTATGTCATCAGAATATAGATATACAAAGACTGATTCAGTCATTTTGCTTTTTAACTGGTGAACAATTAATTTATATTGTTATTCTTTACTCAACTTGCATCATTAGCCATTTCTAACACAGTCTTGCACATCTGATGACAGCAGTAAAACACAACTTGTCTACACAGATAACGATCAAATCCAAACTTAGTACATTGAATTTCTGGGGAGGGAAGAGACATTTCATTTTGTGACACTGAATGTTGACTGCATATATGACTTGTATTTTCTTTTCCTATGTTATTGAGGTCAGCATTGACAAAGTTTAAAAAAAAAAAACAAGGTCCAGAGCAAAAACGTCTAGAGTGCTGTGTTTCTTCTGTCAAAAAAGAAGCTGCAATATCAACTAGCATTGGATTTTCAGCAACAACATTAAGGTAATATGGCAAAATTCAGCTTCCATACAGGAAATTCAAGAAAGCAAAGGACATGAGCCCCCGATCACTGTTGATGATGAAACAATTAATAGAATATTCATTTTCAACAACCTAGCCCAGAATTCATCCGAGTAGGAATATTAAAAGAAAGCATTATTTGAGTAGAGATAACGCAACAACTAATGTTGTACGCTAATTCAATCCTCCCTCCAGCAAAAAAAAGAATTATAATGGCTAGTTGATTCATTATAGTCAGATGCACTCCTGAACCTTTAAGCAAGGGAGCATGCACTTGGAAGTCTCTATATTTCCATTCCTTCAGATGTGGAAAAATAATAATAAAAAAAACAAAAAAACCCACATTCTTCTACCTTTGTGATGAGAATTCGGTACTTCTCCACCAGATGATCGTTATTATGACACCCTGCCAGCAGCTGCCACACTTCCCCTCTTAGGGCCTCAGGGACGCCACTTCTCACCAGCGCTGACAACGTCTTTGGCCTCACGCTCAAATTGAGGTGCCTGGGTGGGGGCGAAGGTATGTTACCATGATCCAAATACAAATACATGAATATTTAAGCAACAACTCATGTGCAACATCAAACACGTATAAGGATAGGAATTTCAAGATAGTTCTTGTGTTGCCAGTGTAAGTCGAGTTCAAGTTATGAAAGAAACAGATATGGAGAAGCACTTTCCAAACTATTTCCTTGATTCCTATTAAATCGAGATAGAATATAAACATCTGTTATAAAACATTCAACAGCTCAAAAGTCTACAGCTAAAACTAGAACTGGAGAACAGATACTACATTGTGTAAGATCCAAAGATCTCTCTCTGAGCTTTAAAATTAACAAAGTTTTTTGGATTTATCTCAAAGTACACCACAAATGAGAATCAGTTTACAGAAGCACATATTGCTTTCCAGACCGTCTGCACTAGAGCAGGCAGGTAACCTTCTAGAGAAGGAGGGAGGGCAGGCAAACAGAGCTGTCAAAAAGCTCACGTGCTTTCCTAACTACATCCATGCAATTAAACAGCTTCCCCTGTTACACAAGCTAGTACTGTCTAAACATTTTTTTCTGGTTATACTGGTAGTAGCTCACAAATTACAGCAATGTAAGTTATAAAAACTAAATATAATTTATAGTAACTGAGAGTTAAGCTGGACAGTCCATTCGTGGTTCATGCAGTAAAATCCCAGACGACACAGGTTTTTCAATCAAAATAGTGAGAGTTTTTCTACTGTGACTACAAGAAAACTTCTACCTAAAATGATTAAGAGGACTGACAGACTAAAATAGGTAAAAATTGAACTGTAGTCATATTAATCACATGCTCCTCCTAACAATAAACTGATTCTTAACAATGCTTCTTAACAGTCTAAGACACGTGGATGATAATTTTACAGAGTTTGGGACTCCTCGTTGCCTTCCTCCGGTCTACAATGTTCCAGCACAATAATCTGTAGACTAGCTGTGGTGGACTTCCAAATCAGAATACATTTCACAAGAGCTACTACCATAATCTCCCCCTTTGCTTTCTTTCAGGTGTAAGTGTTACTGAAATTCTACATCTTACTCCCCAAAATTTTAAATATCTGAATCTTCTTCATTAGAACAGATGCATACCTGAACCTCACTGCAGCGAGAGCTCCAGGCACTTTTAATTTAGAAGAAAATCTATTCTCTAAACCCAACCAACCACAATAAATATAATATTTACATATCTATATATACATGTATATACTTCTCTGTGTATATATCATTTATCTCACATTTATTGTATTTATCAGATGATATATAAATGTTATATGACTATTTATATAAAATAATTATAGATAAACATACAAATCCTTTGTGAAGATCTATAAAACTGCTTTGCCTTAGCCTGAGATCAGAATAACAGTAATTCTAATGAATATGACCATGAACTGTTGGGCTGTAAATTAAAAGCAGACTACTAGATTTTTTCAAAACTATTTGATTTTGAAATGAGAAAATTGTGTGACTCACCAGTTAAAAAATGAGCCAAATATTATTAAGAAATCACAAAATACCAATGCATATTTAATTGCCATACAAATCTAATTATAGGATTCTAAAAACCTAGCATGAAACCACCTGAACTCTGATTTTTATAATTTTCAATCCTCTTATTGTTAAAAGCTCAAGGATCACTACTTGCAAACACTCATTTTTTGTTAAGAAGGAAAGCCCTTCAACACATATTAAAGTTGTTGTTGCCAGCATTAGCACAGAAGCACTCCATATCCTCTTAGAGCTGCCAAAACATTTTCAATGGCAGTCAGGTGGCTTAATTATCTTTCAGCCACTGGAAGAGTTACAGAAAAATTCAAGTTGAAAGAAACTTTCTCATAGCAGCAGATGCGTAGAGCTCATCTGTTAAAGATGTTTCTAAAAGTCTAGGGGGGAGGGAGGGAAACAGGATTATATATCATTATACCACAGCCTTCTTCCTCACAAACGTTGAGTTTCTGGTGTTCACTTTCCTAGAAACGAACTGGAACAAAAGTACCTTTTTGAAAAAGTATTTAATAAGTGTAGAAAAATAAAACTAATACTTGATTGTGATAAGCTTAAAGAGAAACCTGGCTAAGAGGTCACTTCAGTGCGTGTGGCTTAATCTGATCTCTGTTGTCCTGCTCCTTAGAGCTAATATTTCATTCAGACCTCTGATCGCTGCATACTCCTTGCCCTGCTCTTCAATATTAGGGAGCAGAAGGCAACTAAAGCCAGAGTCAAAATGAGGCATACAGGAGCTCAATCTGCTGATGCTGGGCTTGTCTGCCCCTTTTGTGGAAGAAGAAAAAAAAAACAAAAAAAACCCCAACCCATACTGAATTTTGCAATAATCAGCATCAGTTTCTTAGAGCTGCTCAGGCTACTCCAAGATGACTAAAAGTTCCCTCAGGAAAGAAGAACAGGTGTTGCATTAGCAACTTGATTGTCAAGAAACACTGTTCTCAGTAAGCTGGCATTTTCTATGAAAAAAATAGAACAGCTCATGCACTTCCTTTTTGGCAGGCTCTGGATCCATCTTCCTTTAGCTGAAGGGAAGAAAAGCATCTTTGCAATCCAAGTACAAATCTCCCATATTCTTCAGCCACAGTAACTAAGACACAACAGCTGTAGGAAAAACTGGCTGTGAACTCCACAGGAGGTACAAAGTAGAATGGAAGTGATGTACGCAAAATAAACACAAAACAAAAGTCGCATTTTCTTTACGTTACTTAGGAGGTTAGATTTTTCTTAAAAAAAGTAAAATATACAGAAAAGTAATACCATTATTTTAAGAGATGGCCATCAGCAACAAGTAGCATAAGTGAATTTCTAGATGTTTTTTTAAACACGTACTCAAAAGTGAAAATACTTAGAACGCCATCCTGAAGAAATCGGACACTGTGAAGCCAGAGAACAAGGGGTATTCTGGGGGATCAAGGAGGACTAAATCCATACTAATCTCATCTCAAGTGCCTTCCAGAAATAACGACAGCTCCAAGTAGAAGGAGCAAAGTCTGAGAATACTGAGAACTGTGATTTTCAGAATGTGATTTTGCCACTTACCATTTGGACAGCAGCTCTCCCCATGTCTCAAGAATTTTTTCTGCACACTCTTTGGAAACATCTCCAGAACCACTCAAGAGAGGTTCATCGTTGTCTGCCAATACAAGAACAAAGGAGAAACTACGGGATCAGCAACCGTTTTTCTACCTCTGCAGATTTAAACATTACTCTCTTAACTGTATCAGTGTGTGGGAAGAAGAAATTCATCGCTTGTGAAGGCACTGCCTGTGTGCTGAACAAAGCACTAAAAACTCACCAGGTACTTCAGAAAACAACCAAGAACAAGACAGAGTAGACAACTAAAGCATCAATGCAGCAGGTTAAGAGGAAAAATTGAGAGAGCTGAGTGTGTTCAGTCTTAAGAAGAGAAGGCTACCGGAAGTCTTCAGTTACTAAATGGAAAGGTATAGAATTAGAATTAGACTCTTTTTGAAGGTGTGCAGTGACGCGACAAAAGGCAAAAGACAAGCTGCAGCATGTGAAGTTCTGGTTAAATATAAGGAAAAAAAATTTACCACGAGGGAGACTAAATACTGAAACAGGGGCCGAGAGAGGCTGTGGAAACTTCATTACTGGAGACTGTCAAAACGCAACTGGACAAGGCCCTGAACAGCTTGATCTGGCTGGATCCACTTTGAGTGGGATGCATCATTAGAGACCTCCAGAGGTCCCTTGAAACATAAGTAATTCTATGTTTCTACCTCAAGCTTTTGGAAGACCACAAAAATTGTCAAAGAGCACAGCTTTCCCTATTTGAAAAGCTACAACACTATAAAAGCTGAAAACACAGTAGAAGCAATGTACTTTCACAGAGCAGCTGCAGACTTGCCATGCTCTCACAGACCCATAAGAGTCCATGAAGTGTTAGGTATTAACCTACACATTACCAATGAAAACTTCGCTTAGGTGTTACCCTGAAATAAAAGCACTGCATCACTTTCACTCAACAGTTGCATTGCATTTCTATCACTGACAAAATAGTTTTTCTAAATTAGCAAGCAGAAAATACCTTATTGGAACTGCCAGCAACCTAAACATCCTGAACTCAATAATCCAAGTAAAAGACTAAAGAATTCTATTTCCTTTATGAAATACAATGTGAGAGGTCATAGTGTCATAGCATTTGCTGCAACCTGAACTGTTTATTAATTCTTTTGTACTTTCACTTTGAAAGCTAGTACTTTTTGATAACTTCCCTGGCTTAAATTAAACAGCTTTTTGAATGAAGTACATTCAATTTGCTGGGGAGGGAGGAAGGGTAGTTACCATAATCATGAAAATCCCTTAGTTGAAACCAATACTACAACTGATGTACTTCTAGATTTTTTTTTTCCTTTAAACACACTCACAGCAGGTACTGTAAACAAAAGCTATATATTTCATTGATATAGTAGTCAAACATTGCTTTTGCATTATCAAGGAAATATTTTTTTTTATTAAATCTATGCTATCTCAGCTGACACCTGAAATTGCCAGCACCCATTTGCAATGTTGCAAGTGGTATCTACTATAAATAAAATACATATGTTCCTTGTCTAGGAAAGAATACCACTGTGGTTAGCATAGTGGTTACAGTTGCTAATGAAGACTCTTTGCAAAGGAGTTAAATTTCAAGTCACCTCTTCATTAATTTAAAAAAAAAAAAAGAAAAAGAGGAGGGGGGGGGGGGGGGGGAAGAGTAAGCCACAGAAACGAAACAATTCGCCCAAGGTCACATCTAAGGCCAGCGGCAAAGTCAAAAACCAGAAACTCAAATCATTTCAGCTCAAAGCCATAAGGGCCAGATGCAAAATTACTTCATAGCTTGGGTTAAGAGATTTTTAAAAAGCAGAAAAAAGATACTGAAAATAC